GATAGATAGATAGATAGATAGATAGATAGATAGATAGATAGATAGATTACATAATTCAATTTCCACTCAGTGTAGCCTGACTATGATAAAGTATCAGCAGGATGTCCTTTGGGGTGACTTGAATTCCACTTCATTACATTTCATACATGATTTGTGATTAGCAGCTTAAATGGCCACACTTTGTGCACATTTAGGAACCTAAGGTGTCGAAAAACACTGATTCACACACTTATATAACATTTCCAAACAAATTCAAGATGACTGACACCAAACTCGCAATCAATGACCACATGTTCCAATTAAAAATAGACATCTCAGATGAAACTGAAATCCTCTGGGGGACTGGGCTGTGGGAAAAGTGCTTGTTCTGCATAATTTATCACGAAATCCGCAATCCATCCACCCGTGTCTCTGAGACAGACACTGATCATGCCGCGCACCAGAAAGTGTTCGGCAGAACAGATGTTGCAGGAGCCTCACATCTGCATGAGACGCCCAGGAAAACGATTGGACGAGGCGCAGTGCTCCGCCAGTGTCCCAAAAAAAAAAAAAAAACTGTGGCTGTTCCCCTCCCAAACTGGTGTTAACCGCGGATGTCACTGACCAATTCAAGCGTCTTCCTGCTTAACGAGGTGGGCTATTCTCTGTTTCTCCTGCTGTTGACCAACACGTGAGGGAGCGACTGTCGTGGCGCGTGGACACCTCTCCGTCCAGGCGTAAACAGGCGCCGCGTCCCTGTTCGGACGGATGCTGATGATTGAATTAGACAGCCTGACCTCACTGGGAATCTTTCACTCCGGAGCTGAAGAGGCTCGACGTGTATTGGCACTGTCAGCGTGCCAGCTGAAATTAGGGCCAGATGAGCAGGGCGTTTAGATGCTCATGTTAACAGCTGGACTGGTCAGCTGAGAGCAACAGATGGAGGTCCACGGCTCTGATTAAACTCGCAGTCCTTCTTTCAAGAGACAGCAGATTCGCAATTGGATATAACGTGGTAATGATGTAATGACAGTTTTTAATCGCAGATTGCCTGAACGACATGGCTCACCAGGGTATGATAACGCTGTTTTTACTCATACGAGCATTTACTAAAGAAAGCACATCAGTCAGAGACCAGGGGTGGAATCAAACTCAGTACATTTATTCATGGGCTTTTTTAGTGCACATTTTATGAGCAATACTTGAGGTTTTCTTTCTCCACTAAACATATGCTGGACATATTATTATTAGACTTAATTGTTTTTATGTATGGATAGTACAATAATTCATATAACAAATTAAGATTTTTTTTATCAGAAGCTTTTTAAGTGCCTATTTGATCGTACCTTTTGTTCAGTTATATATTTTTCAGTTGGCTCCAAGTTCTCAACTGTTAATTACAGTTAGTTCATCAATTGTTTCCTGATGATCGAATCCACATTTAGCTTTTAAGTTAAAAGTAGAACACGGTGTCATGATGAAGAATCATTGGGTGTTGATGTGCCATCCTTCAGGATTAAAAAATCCTGTAGTCTTAGGCTGACTGATGGCTGTTTCTTCCATTTAGACTTTCACATTTGTCGACTTATTTAATTCTTGCCAGTGTAACATGTTTTTAAAAAAGATTACACTCCACTTTTAAATTTCTGCTCATGGAAACAGAGCCAAACGTTATTTTGCAGCAGATGCTGCAGGTTTCAAAAACTGAGATAATCCACCACTCTGGACCCCATCAGGGGTTCCATCTGTGTCTCTATGAGCCTGTTTCCCACCTGAAGGGTCTGGATTGTGTTAAAGGTGTTTGAAAAGTCAAGAATGACGATTTTGATTGTGCTCCCAGCCAATTGGCAAAAGTGCATCATTTGTTTCATGTGTCTCTGAGAGAAAAGATTGCAGGAGGTTGATCCAGATTCTGACCAGTGCCAAGATGCCTTCTCTGAATGTGTCGCTGAGGGAGGGTCTACATTTTAGAAAAAAATCCTAAAAAAGGTGTTGTTCTTGTATGCTGAAAACATTTAATCCCCTACCTTTTTAGTAAAATGTCCTCCATAGCCATGAAAAAGTCAATTTTCCTTTATTCTAATTCTTAGGATTTTTTATTTGAAATGTTATAATGTCCTAACAAAATCTTTTTTTAAACTTAAAAAAATATCCAACACATTTTAACCCAGTGCTAAAACTGCAGCTTAAACAATAAGATCAACTGCTCAGTGAGAAGCCACACCAGAGATTAGATAAAATATATATACACATGTATATTTTATAATTCCATCAAGGAGACGGATTTATGTAGAAATGTCCGCTTAGTGACATTTTCAGTGTCATGGTGTCCCAATCATGATACCTGCTCCCTCCTCTTGGCACTTCTCTTAGACAGGAATAAGGTCTGTGCTGGAGTATTTTCTGTGTCTGAATCCATCAAGTGATGTACACGCTTCACAAAGGGATTTAGGAGTAGCCAGGTGTCATCTCCCTCTCCTCAAACATCAAAATGCAGCATCCCCAGTGCCTTAAAATAGGCCCTCATCCATAATGCACCTGCAGCAGCTCTGCCTACAGAGGAGTCTCATACGGGACAGACTGACAGACATCTGCACTGGGTGCTTCAGTGCAGCTCATAAAGCTGTTTTCCCTTCCTTCAGCTTTTTCTCCTGCTCGGTGCAAAGAAGTGTCAGAGTAGCCAGTCATTCATTCAGCCATTCATCCATTTTTTATTCGTGTCTTCTGCTTATGCAGAATTTGGTACCTCCTCCATCTTGTTCTCCTTTCATTTTCTCTCCTCTGCCTTTGCTTCTGTTTCCTGCAAGCTATTGTATGAATTATGAATCTCAGCTCTGCTGCAGATATCCTCATCAACAGAAAAGTCTTGGTTTTAGAGGGTCGAGCTGGTTTCTTTCAGACGCATGTTGTTACGTTTTGCATTCTTATTAAAAGCTCTCATAATTCACATAGTAGATTTAACATTCATCTTTTTCTGATTTTTGGTTGAACTGTGCGGTAAACAGAAGAAAAACGACCCCACCCTCATTATTGCACATGTACCCCGTGCACACTCGACTGAGCTGTCAGTGAGCACAGCCAGCCATGACTTCTGCAGCGCACACTCCATGAACACAGGGCTCCACGCGGGACGCCCCCGCATGTCGAACACAGCACTCCTATCCCTTCCCCAAGTACTCAGACTTTGACTCGTGTCTCTAAACTTTTGGTTTTTGACATTCCTTCAGTTGAAATTCCAGATGACCTTTACCATTGTTACATCTGTGGGATTGAAAAGTACACGAGGTGACATCTATTTCATTTTTTTATTTTTACAGTTTGTTGCTGGATTTTTTCATGTTTGACTTTGCACATAAAAGCTTACATTTGTGCTGCAAGTTATAAAAACGACTAATCAAGCATCATATGGTCATCTTAAAATGTGCCATGGTCAATCTAGATTAGAGTCTTCGCGTAAGTCAGGATGCGCTTGTGGCACTCAGGCCCATCGGACAGGGTGGATAGAGATGAAGAGGAAGAGGAAAGAGGGTGGGAAGGATGATATGCGGAGCAGCGAGAGCCTCACTGACGTAGAAAGGGGTTGTGTTCCGAGAGTGGTGGAGAATAAAGGAGGAGGGGGGGGTGTAAAGATAGAGAGATAGACTACTTACAGGCATGCTACAGTACACTTCAGTGTTACCCAAGAGAGAGTGCACATCATGACTGACTAGCAGAGAGAGTTGAGAGACGGGGAGTGTGCTGTCCTACCTCCATCTGAGTGAGTACACCGCTATCTCCTCTACCTCTGAGATCTCGGCAGTAAATGCACAGAGTGCCCGCCTTTTGAAATATAACCGATCAGACTGAAGTAGGTCTAGTTTGATGAAATTGATCGTTTAACCCTCATGCTTGTTTCTTTTGTTTCGATTGAAAGTTTAACAAACGGAGTTGAGCATGTCACTGCCAGAGGTGGGAGGAGTATGATTTTCTTTTTAGGTTTGAGCTAATGCTATGCATATCCCAATTTTCCATCCTTGGCACTGACATTTCTGAGAGCGGTCTGAGTTGCTTTAAAGCAGAAAATGGCATTTGGAACAGCTGTGTGACAGAGGAGCAGTGGTGGGAAGCTGTGGGCGCACTTGCTCATGTTTTTTTTCTGTTGGTGGGGGGGAAGGAGTGCATTTGGGACCGCTAGGCTTCCTGTATGGGGTCAATTAAATACTGCATGAGACAGAGCACTAAAAGCCTGTCCCGTGAGGAGCGAAGTGCTTTGTGTGTACGTGCTGGCAGTTGTGTGTGTGTGTGTGTCAGTGCATCAGCATGCTTGCTTTGATTAAATTTGATGAACCAGCTATGTTGAAGGGACCTGAGATCCCAGGACCAGCTGTAAGTTCCTGTTTAGAAATAAAAGGCTAGTTTTAAATTGAAAGTCAAGAGAACAGTCAGCATACATTGTTTTATTTACGCAAAGGGGTGGATGCATATAGGAGAAACTGCAACTGTACCCGTTTCTCCAGTTTGGACTGATGCAGGCATGTGTGAATATGTAGGGCATCATTACATATTGATACGTCTGACATTCCTACGGTAAGTTCAGCAGACTTGTCAAGACCCACCAATTAGGCTTAGATCAAACCTCTAGCCGAAACCAGGTCAGGTTGGAACAAACACATCTGATTTGATTAAGTATGCGAGGCTGTGCAATTTTACATTCTGCTCAAGGTACACAGCTTTATGTGGGTTAGCCCCAGCCTCTCTATACTTTGAGACAGTTCGTGATGTCAGGTTGAGCGATCCTTCGGGGTAAGAAGAGCACAGCCATGCGCAGAGAAGCCGGCAAGGCCAAGTTGACAGCGCGGCTGGAAGATAGAGGCTCCAGCCCTGCAAGCTGTGTCTCACTCCTCGGCATTAGATCCACGCCAGATTTAGTGCCAGCCCATCTGAGATGAGTCGTAGTAGCCACTCGTTGATGCTGCTGGAGAATCTTCAGCCATTCACTGATTTAAGTGGTTTTAGTTGAGAAATGAGATGTTTAAAGAAAATGGTTACTGAACTGAAATGAAAGCAGAAGGTGTGCAGAGTCTATCGGGCGCACATTACCGACAAGGAGAAAGTATCCTGAAGTATCATTAGAGGAAGTTGGAGCTGCTGAGGATAAAATGGAGTATCAATCTGGGTGGCTCTCATATTGATCCACACTGGCCCACTCCGGTTGCAGTTCTTCCTGTCTCTGACTGATCCACCTCTGCCTGTGATGCTGCCTCAGCTCCTGCTGCGCCCTGAGACTGTAAGGTGCCTCCTCCCAAGTCAAAACGCTGGTTGTCAGATGCTGACAATAAAGTTTGCGCACTTAAAGCTCCAGATTTGTTGAGAAGATCCAGGCGTCTACTTTTCTTCATATCATCGTTTCCTCCCAGCTGCTGCAGGGATCAATTTCTTACTTGGCAAGAATTTGGTGGCCCTAGACAGCTTTGCAGAGCTTATTATACAAAAAACAAACAAACAAAAAAACGAAATTTTTAAAAATCTGTTAAGCTAAAGACAAAGCTTCACAAAATAGATTTCACTGTCTGATGTGACATATTTCACATTTCTTCATAGTTTTGCATCTGTTTTGATTTGTTTTTCCAGCCTGGTTCTTGTATCTAAAGAACCATTCAGTGTCATTACTGTCCAAACAACGGTTTTCATGGTGGATCGAAACCAATTTTTGGAGGCAGACCTTGTATAAGGAGATGGGGGAAAGGAGTTGAGCGGCTCAATTCCCCCTAAAAATCTGCTTCTGTGAGCCAAACTGTGAGGACATAGTTAAAAAGAAAGCTGTGGTTTTCTTTTATTCTTAACCAAGTTGGTCAGGGACACTTAATGAAGACACAAGAAAAGCATGAAAAAATTAAGCCTTCATTTTAGGGATTGAAATGCCAAAGCAAATAGATCATCCTCACGAGATACATTTAGATATATTTTACCAATACATGTGTCTGCATGTCTGCCTGTGTGAGCTGTTTTTTGTTTAGTTTTTTTCTCCAGTTTTTTGTTCGTGTAATAATAAGGAGACATCTTCACTTCTAAGAAAGTAGAAATGTTAATGGCCGACGAGACACAAGAGTAGCTGGAACAACTGACTGACGAAACACTGACTTCACATTCAGACGGGAGATCTGGCTTCAGTGAATATAGCTGGGCAAGTCTCAAATCTGCTTTGCTCCTTCTTGGGGGAATTCATCGAAACTCAGTGAACTTTGACAATCCTCTGCTATCTGTTCCCCACCGCCAGCCCCAGTCTGCGGTGGGAGGAGTGTGAGGAAAGGAGAAGAGAGCTATATTTAGAACAACTGAAAGGCAAAGAAATAAAAAAGAAGAAAAAAATCTCCTGTTAATCTCTTGTCCCGTTGTTTCAGTGGTTTGACTACATTTTTTGTTCTTGTTTATCATCTCTTTCTGTCTTTAACGTCATGTTGGTCCCGTTGTTGTTCTTTTTGGAATAAGGAGCCTGAAAACCTAGCAGTCTCAATCGATATATAAATTACACTAAAAGTAAAAAGAGAATATTTTCAGTGTCCTTAGTTTGTATATCTTGTAGGTCTACTTCCCTCTGCAGCTGTTTAGTGTTTCTGATGGCTGCTTCATGCCCAGCACTAATGAGGAAAATATGGTCACCATGCCCCCTCCATAGCAGAGGCATCAGGGAGCTGTAGCAATAATAATATACGTTTCTCTGTGAGCATGTCTGCGCAGGCTTCCCTTTAATTTTAAAAAGCCATGCAGAAAATATTGCCCTGAGAGATTTTCATCTAAAAGCCTTGATGGAGTGCACTTAATTCCTGAGCAGCCAAAGTGGAATGAGGGTGAGGGCGCGTGCATGCTGCCAGTATTAATGGACCCCAAAGTAGGGTCCTCAGCGCCCGGGGCGACCTGATGAGCAGGCATGCGGCCTGGCTTGCCAGAGACAATGAGGCAGTTTGTAACAACTTAGACCTCTCTGCTGTCTTATTAAGATGTCCGGTGGACGCTACATGGCTGCTTGCTGACTCACCGCTGCATTTTCTGTTCATGCATTACCTTCCTGTCAGGAGGAGCGCGCAGGACAGGCGGGCAGGCAGTCGGGCACAAGCTCGTCTGCACGTCCAACATCCATTTTTGCGTCTCTGCCATCATGTCTACTTTTTTGTTTAACATGACGGGTCATTTCTTGTGAAACTAAAGTGCAAAATGAAACGCTGAAATGGTGCAACTACGTTTTTCTCATGAGTTCTCTCCAGTTTTTGTCTTAATCCTTCAAGCCGTGAATGTTCCCGTTGTGTTGCTAATGTACTGCGTCCCACAAAGACCATTGTGATGTTGAAGCTTGACATTTCGCTAGACAATGTGAGAAATACAGGTGATTAGACCTTTAAATGCTTATAAGGATGACTGATGTATATAAGGATGCTGGAAGGTCCACTTGATTTTTCCATAACAGAGTCCTACAAAAGAAAAACCTCACGGTGGGGGTATGTTTCCTCTCTACTAACAGTTCCTAACTACAGATTTTGACACAGCAATTTAAATAAGTGGACACACATTTGTGTTCGATGCTTTATATCGAGAGGCTTTCAGCATTTTTTTATGATGTAATTGTTATAAATAACTAGTTTGGTACACGTGCTCATCATGTATTCTGTTTTATTCATGGGAGTTCTTTTGATTTCCACTGGAATTTAGTGCTCAGAGTAAGCACGAACCCCCCCCCTACTCTGAATGATGATATCTAACTGTAACAGAATCAATGAAAGCTGGAGCTGACAGACAAAAAAGCTAATATATGGAAAAACCTTAAAGTCTTGTCATTCTGATGTGAGATCTGTGGCACGGTTGAGCAACTCAGAAGGGAGTAGAGAAGAGGAGGAGGAGATCAGCAGAGGAAAGCTCCTTTTTCTTAGACAGGGGCTGGCTGGAAGCAAAACATATCCACCATACAGCACCAGTATGTGTGCATATACACAACAGTGCTGCAGTCAGGGCATCAATTTTGTATAGGAAATGACTGTTGAGGCAGCGCAGCAATGGCTGTGAAGCACTTAGGCTGAGCGCGCCTCCCTCTCTCTCTACCCTCTGTAACCACGGGCTGAGGGGAGGAGGGTTCCGCTGTTTCTGTGCCATGGGGGGATGAGAGTGCTGGCAGCAGGATCATGTCTGCCTCCGACTCCAGCGCCACAGGACTCATCTGTAACAAGGTATGCTGTGAACGCTGCCTGTTTTTTAATCGCTCTGCATGCAAATCAGCCTCTTCGTCCACGAGACCCCTATGTGTCTGCTCTGAGACATCTTCTTCGTGCCCACCCTCCCCTCCTCCTCCTCGCTGTTGTTTCAGCAGAAGTCTATTCTGGTTCACTCACTTTACCAGCATCTCTGCACTTGTCTTCCCTTCCGCCTCTTGCTCTTCCCCTTCTTTGGACATGGTGTACCGTACACATGCATTTTGCCTATTTAGTTCAAGCTAGTTACAGGTTCTACATTGTGTCAGTTGTCTGTTAGGTCACCCATCTGTTGAATACCATGAATTTTGACCATGAATTGGTCTATGAATAGCATTCTCTGTTTATGAACGTATTATAAATTAACATCTCTGTCCAGGCACATTTGTGTCAAATGTCTGAATGAGACACAGACTGATAAAACCCTTAACAAAAGCAAAAAATGCCTGCATAATTAATTACTGCTATTTTGAGGCCCCGTTGTTTCAATCTATTTAGTTCATGCATCTGTGTCCAGGGGGTCTGTTCATTGATCTATCCATGCTGTTATCTCACTTTAAACCTTTCACTTTTGATACTTAGTTACCAAGCCCTTACCTGTTGTCCTGTCTGTTACTGGAACGTGACTGTAACTGTGCAACAGCATCTCGGTTTGTCGTCTTGCTGTTTGCTTCTGAGCAATTCAACATTTAGGTTAAGGCAGGGTAACCTCCTGGATTCAGTGAAAGTGTCAAGACTGTTTTTAAGACTGAAACAAGTTCTCACGGGTGGGGATGTGCTCCCCTCTGCTGGTGGAGATCAACAACTGCTGCACGATTGTTATCTCATGTTTCAGTCCCCAATGGGACTTCAAGCATGTGAGGGATTTTGCTGTTGTTGCCAGATCTCTTGATTTGGTGTCCTGAAGAAGACATCTGCATATTCAGCGTGAGTGTGTTGTCACAGAAGCAGAGAAAGTGAGAAAAATACAAGATGGAAGGATTGATCCCAGTATTGTGTTGTGTATGGTGATGTGTATTTTTAGAGTCAGTCTGCATTGAGAACTCTGTGAACAGAATTATTATCCTGCTGGCTTCTACTTTTCAGTTTACTTACTTCTTTTTTTCAATTTAATAAGAAAGCCGAAGGCCACGTTTGCTCTCCCCGGTGTAGAAAATTGCCTTACAGATATTCAGTGGACTCTGGAGTGTGTGATGTAGCACATTACTGCAAACTGATGCCTCTGGTCACTTCATGGTTGAGAGACATTCAGCTAATTTTTAGGCCTCAAGTTTCCATTCTGTCCCTTTCAACATCCACCCATTCATCTGTCCTTCCTATCACTTATACATGCTTAATCCAGTTTAGGATCAACCTGCAAACGGACAGAGGAAATAAGTCAAATACATTCACGTGTTTACCTACGACTAATGGTAGCGTTCATCATGTGACTTCTTCAAGTTATTCTTTTTTACTCATTCACATTGTGGTTGGTGTAGTACCTGGAATTCAGGCAGTTAAACAGGTGTGTTGAGGTGTGTTGTTTTCACGTTCCAGTAAGGACTGGACTAAAACTCAAAAACTTTTGCTTTAAATGTTTCTTCATCAAGTCAAGGATTAGGAAAGATAAAGCAGTGTGGTCAGCATAGGAGACAATGTATAGAGATAACGAGACTCCTCATTATACTTCCACAAAAAACATTATGTGCTTTAATTAGGTTTTGTTTTCTCTGTTGGTAGACTCTGTACCACCTCTGGCAGCCTTTGATATACAAATGATGCCTGCACAATCTGCTTTGGATTTAGTTGAAACACTTTTTTGAGGACACAGGAAAGCAGAGGAAGGGTGGAAATGGTGGAAAGGGGAGAGGGTTGAAAGAAGCATAAAGTTACTTTGGGGCTATATTTGGCTCTCATGTTGTTTCTCCAGTCTGGTATGTTAGGAGTCCTCCTCTTTTTTTCCCAGTTGAGTTTGCGGCCATTAGGAAAGAGATGATGTGAGAGTGGAATCTATGAGTTGTGCTTTGTGGGTCAAAATACATTTTATAAACAGATTAAAAAGTCCAGTTTCTCTAACTTTATGGCGTCCATGATCTAATCAGACATATGTGGTCAGAAATCGGTTGTTGAACAGGGGCCTATACTACGAAGCGGAATTAACGGCTTATCAGGGTAACTTCGAGGGTAACTTGATCATGTAGGGAGTAACTTCCCGACTAACTGGTACGACGAAAGGTGGATAGGTTTTGATCGACGTATGCTGCCATGGCAATTTACTCCACCTGCTGCCAGGTGCATTTGGCACCGCTACTGCACCTGAAATATTATTAGGATCCGGAATAATGTTGAACACTCATACAGTCAATGCAGCCCATTTAGGAATGATTAACCTTACATTTAGCTATGCCACAGCTGACTAATGTTGTGTCTAGTCATTATTAATTCAAAGTCGTGAATTCTCTTACCACCCAGTTTCAGGGCGATTGCGCCATCATTCAGAACAGCGTTTTATGTGAGCGCACACATACTTCAGTTAAGTTAATGCAGGTTCAACAACCTCAAAACCACCTTGGTAGTACAGAGTAACTCCACTTCCACATGCCCGGGGTTGTCAACTTTGGTTTAGATGAATAACCCCGGGTTACATCTGAGTGAGTTAACCCCGCTTCATAGTACAGGCCCCTGAACTGATAATGACTCATTTACTAACTTTAAATTATGATCATCAGATTAAATGTAAATGTCTAAAGCCAGGACAATAAACAGCCTCTGTTCAACAAGCTGCACACACCAATCTGAAGCCCGGAACAGGATATAAGTACAGATATTATTTGTTTCTTATTGCAGAGTGGACTTCTGCTGTCATGGGGTTGTCTCTGGCTGAGTGGATAAACAAACAGCAAGGTTCTGCTGGTTGTTAGTGTTGCAGTACTTGTGCAGATGCTCCCGAGAGAGCGAGCTGCTTTGGAAAGCTGCAGGACAGGACAGGCAGGGGCAGAGACAGGTGAAAAACAGGAAAGACATGGTTTATACATAGGGCAAACGTAAATGATCTGCTCGAGGCGGCGGCTTTGCTACGTTCCATGGGTATATGCTTAATTCAGAACAGCTGTATCGTGGTGGGTTTATCCTCTTTTTGCTTGCGCTCTTAGAGTAATTTTTGTCTTCTCCTCTGTCGTCTTTTCTACCACTTTCCTCCAGGGTTCAGCCGATTCCTACACTAGTCGACCCTCTGATTCCGACCTGTCCCTGGAGGAGGACCAGGAGGCGTCTCGGCGTGAAGCCGAGCGCCAGGCTCAGCTACAGCTGGAGAGAGCCAAGGTGAGAGCAGAGAGGTCAAAGGTTAATGCCCGTCCTTAAAATAAGCTTTAGTTCCAGAGAAGCAGTGATATATGAAAGCAGCTTTCCAAAGCAACCGTTAAGTTTTACCTAGATTATTGTCCATGGATGGAAAGTTACCCTGCAAATTATCTCATATCTCATTTTTGTTGTACACTGTCTTTGTTTTCTAACAGTCGAAACCTGTAGCATTTGCTGTGAAAACCAATGTAAGCTACTGTGGGACCCTTGATGAAGATTGTCCAGTCCAAGGAGCTGCAATTAACTTTGATTCCAAAGACTTTCTTCACATAAAAGAAGTAAGGCACATTAAGACTTTTAGGTGCACCTAAAGATTCATAATTAAGGTGTTCATAACAATAAGTGTCAAACATCATCGGGGTGAAATCACTGAAGCATAAGTTTGAGTCGTAAAAGGATGTGTTCCCCTGTCACACAGAAATATAACAATGACTGGTGGATCGGTCGACTGGTGAAGGAAGGGGCTGACATCACTTTCATCCCAAGTCCAGTAAAACTGGAGGCCATGAGGATAAAACAAGAGCAGAAAGCAGCAGCAAGGTCAAAATAAGATATGCCATTTTTAAAGAAAATCACTTCTCTATACTTTTCTCTTTATTGATGTCTTTCTTGGCCCTAATTCCAGCCTTTTTTTCTGAAACTCTGAAAACTTTTGTGTACTTTTTGCTCACGTGTTGATCTATTTTTGAGGCCCTTCTCTTCAAATATGCTATTTGGGGATTCATGCTTAATGAAGTTTTGCATTATGCTGCTCCACAGGAAAGGAGGGAACGCGTCATCCGGAGGATGGAGATCCACCCCTCCATCTGCAGGTACGGAGGACTGAAGGAGTCCCGCTGCTCTCACCATCTAATGACACAGCATGATTTCACCTTTGCATATTGGTGTAGACTGTAGGACTTTTATTGGGTTCAAATGTTCTTATGTTTGGGACCATACTTTTAATTCAGGCTTACATCGTAACTGCAGTTAACAAGATACTTTCACAACTCAGCATGTTTTTGACAGAGACTCATGTCCTAAATGTTTCTCTTTTTTTCTTTATTTTAAAAAATACAGCTGTCTTATCATTTTTCTTCAATGTTCACTCTGTTTATTCTAAAAGCCAAACAGAAGCAGAAGCAGGTATGTTAGCATTTCTAAGTGTGTTTGCATTGTTCGTATACTGACAGCGATCATTTATATTTTACTCAACTGCCAAGTTAGTTTCCTTTCCTCTGCCAAGTAATATTCTTAAATTCAGCAGGTATTCTCACATCTGTTTCAGCATATCTCCATATGTTACTGTCTGTGTGGTGTGTCTTTCTGTGTGACCCGTGCAGACTGAACACGTTCCTCCGTACGATGTGGTGCCCTCCATGCGGCCCGTGGTGCTCGTGGGACCTTCACTGAAGGGCTATGAGGTGAATCAGCCATGAGAACATTTTTGTAGAGCTTGTTAAAAGCACTTCTGCTTTTTCATGTGCTTGTGCTTAGAGTAATGGTCCGAATGATATGTGGCATGTGGAGAAATCGTTTCTGAGGTTTTAAGCAGGCAGTCATCCATACCAAAAGCCAACCTGTGAGCTATGATTAAGATTATGAATGAAATGTCTGAATATAGAGCGAAACTCAGTCATGGTGGATATTTTAGCAATTTTTACACCTTGAAGACTTGGTATTGAGAGATCTACACTGCCACCCAATTTTAGTTGGCCAATATAATATTCTGTGATGAAAAAAGATAATAAACTAAGTTTAAATGTATATCAAGAGAGCAACAGAAATTAGTATTGTGATTAGAAAAGAAATAAACTGTTTTTAAAAAAGAATATTCTTATACTTTTTAACACAACATTTTTATTCACTTTCAAAAATGTAGATATATGAGTAAATGAAATAGCAAAGATTCAGTAGTTGTAATACCCATGGATTGGACATATTAATGTCATGATGTACTAATGTTTATTTTCTTAACTGCATTTGATGCTTCCAGTTAACTCTAGACTGTATCCATTAGTGCTTGTGTTTTCTCCTCCTCACACTTAATAGAGCAGCCACATTTCTTTAAAACTATAGGACGAATAAGAGCATCTCAGATCCAGAAGATTGAAGCATTCTTCTGTACTTATGCCTACACACACACGCGTGCACACATGCATGCATCATGAATGAGATGTATGAAAATGCACTGCAGCCACTGCAGATTACAGCGACTTTAAATGAGTCTGTGGTTGAATATGCAGAAATTTGAGGCATGTATCTGCACAGCGTGCTTCTGTGCTCCAGCTTTTCTCTCTGCTCTGCTTTGCTCTGCTCTGCTCTCCCCTCCGTGATTGCACAAGCACTGTGCCAAGCTGTTTGTTTTGTGTGCGTGAAATATTTATGTCTCGCTCTGTTGATGTGCTTTGGGCATGCTCCAGTGGTGACCACCGGCTTGCCTCCTTCATTCTTTCCTTCATAATCCCCATCTCTCTCTTTCCTCTGTACTTGTTACATACAGCTGTGTTCCTCATCACTTCCCAGTGCATTTGAGAGGGTTCACATCAGACATTCTGGACCTGACAATTTAATTCTGGACTCACTTTAGGATTCATCAGGATTATTTTTTAGTTCAAGCTTCGTTGCACTTTTTTTTTCTTCTTCTTTTTTTTGTTTGGTGAAGGGAAAAGAAGTTTATTTGGCCGTCAAACTGCCTGAGCCATCACAGAAAGTCACAGATCCATTCACAGTCAAGTCCAGACCAACTCTAAACTGCTTGCACATCCACTTTTCAGAAATTGTTTTATTTTGAGCAGTCAGCCACCGGGGCTCTCATTAGTGCTGCAGTAGCTCCTGATTACTGCTGCAACCTTGTTTCTGCTGATTTTTTCATGGTCAGCCATTTTCCTCTGTCTTGTTCCATCTGCCTGAAATCTCAACCAGTTTTCCTTATCGCAGTATATTTATATTTACTGCTTTTAAAACTTGTGTATATGTATGTGCACAGTGCTATTAAGCCCTTATTCTTCTCTGGATATCTAAAACATCTCTTTAAAGCATTGCTGTGTGCATTATTGTGCTCAGTTCTTTTTTAAATTGCATACTACGTATACTGAATGTCTAGATAATGACAAAATATTTCCTAAGAAGCATGGTTGTAGGTTTTCTTTATATATTTCCTTCTAACCTCTTTCTTAACCTTTTTGTCTTTTAGGTAACTGACATGATGCAGAAAGCCTTGTTTGACTTCCTGAAGCATAGATTTGATGGCAGGTAGGTCTGCACGTCTGCTCTCTAAAGCATATACTGGTACTACTTCTGGGCTGTTTGTGGGATTCTGCCTGCAACGTTTCATGGTTGGGAGGATACATGATGATGGGTTTTTATTTTTAGCTGGGACACGGTACAAGTTCATGTCATCCTTTGAAACTGAACAGCTGTGGATAAAATGTGATGAGACATTTCTTCCTCAGGATCTCTATCACACGGGTGACTGCTGATCTGTCACTGGCAAAGCGTTCTGTGCTCAACAAGAAGGCCATAATAGAGAGATCCAACACCCGCTCCAGTTTGGGTGAGCGATGAAAGAGATGTCTTTGATCTTTTCTTTCTAAATAAAGATTACAGACTCCTAAGAATAGATGCCTCCATGTCTCTAACATTTTAAGTTGGTGATACTGCTGTGTTCAAAGTGGCTCATCCCAAGACTGCCTGTCTCTGTTTGGTTTGCTACCAGCTGAGGTTCAGAGTGAGATAGAAAGAATCTTTGAGCTAGCCAAATCACTTCAACTGGTCGTCTTGGACGCAGACACCATCAACCACCCAGCACAGCTCCTCAAAACATCTCTGGCTCCCATCATCGTCTACGTCAAAGTGTCCTCGCCCAAGGTAGAGGGACACAAACCTAAACTTCAAGACAGCCATTCAGGACTTGTTTTTTCTTATGCAGATTTCTTATTCGAATGTTATTATTCTCACATTAAATTATTGGGAAACTGTTTTGAGGAGTGATGTAAAATCAGAACAAGGCATTTTATATTGTTCTGTTTTCATGTATTATCTATTTTTTTCTTTGTTTTTCATTTTTGGATATTATTCCAGGAAGAATGTCATTGTTACATACCATATACCAGCATACTTTAAAAAAAAGGAACTATTTTAAAACCGGGGTACTCAAGTGTAATTAAGAATGGACATTTTGTTTTACGTGTTTGAATTTCTTAGCCACTGCCTCGTCCCACAGGTTCTTCAGAGGCTGATTAAGTCACGAGGGAAGTCACAAAGCAAACACCTCAATGTCCAGATGATGGCTGGGGACAAGCTGGCTCAGTGCCCACCTGTATGTCACTTTGTCTAAAAATCACTTGAAAAAATGATTTATTTATTTTTTGCTTTATTCATTTTATCCTTTGCTCATCAGGAGATGTTTGATGTCATTCTTGATGAGAATCAATTGGAAGACGCATGCGATCACCTTGCAGAGTACCTTGAAATATACTGGCGTGCTACTCATCTTCCCTGTTCTGCCCCAGTTAACCCCTTACTGGAACAAAATGTGGTCACCCCACCTTCCGCTAACTCCAGCCAACAGGTAGACACACAAACACACAACTTACCTTTGATTTACTGACATCTAGCTTTTGTATTAAACTATACCTTCTCTTCCTCTGTTGTAAAATACAGTTTTCTGAAACTCAAGAGTTGATAGAATGATCACTACCACAGATATAGGTGTGTATGCCTTTTCCCTTTCATTCAAGCAAAACCTTCTCTGTTGGTTTTAAACTCAACCTATTGATTTGTGTCCCTTATGGCCCAGCAGGAGCAGCTTGTGCTGTGAGCTGGAGACAGACCAGTCAAGTCTTAGAGCACAGGGACCAGGGCGCCACCAGGGGGCAGCAGACCTCATCTCTCCAAAACCAGCCACCGCCTTCTCCGGCTACAGTTTGGGCAAAGAGAGCGAGAGAGTCAGATCCCTGCAGAGAGAGAAAGAGCAGGAGGCTGGTGAGCTGGAGGAGAAGAAGGCACAAATGCTGAGCGGGGAGCTGGACAGAGGAGCTCCCACCGCACTGCTGCCCCCTCGGACAGAGCTCCCTGCTCCCGCTGTCACTTGACAACTCAGGGCCGCTTTCCGCAGCTGCGCACACTGGGGATAACTGCCAGTGAAGCTGCACAGTCACCGTTCACTAACCCCCCCCCCCTGCCCACACTGACCATACGACTGGTCCCATACCTGTGATGAGACAGCCCATGTGCGTCCAGACAGTGACAGAAGGCCGTCCAAACCTCACACCCACTGATTCAGTGCCCTCTACAAACAAGTTACATTCCTACAAGGTTCCAGTCTGTTAGTCTGTTAGTTCTCTGTACTGTCTCTGTACTGGCGAAGCTGACGGTAAAACGCACATTTTTCCAGGGCAACTTTCCAAGAGTCTCACCTCTCTCACACCCTGTCCTGCTCTGAATATTAGGCACAGAGGGTGACAGATAAGAAGTTCTGTATGTCTTCCATGTCTTCAGCTTTAAGTGAGCTGTCATTCCAAACAGTTTACCAAATGTTTTATGAGGCACAATTTCCTACTGTCGTTCATGTGGGGAAAATAACTCATCATTCTATCTTCATGAATTATTTCCACTCACAGTAGTTCATCCAGAAACACTCCAAAATAGCTATTTGTGTGTTTCTTTTTTACTTTAGAATTATCACTATTCATTATTTACCGATTGCAAGTCTGCATGTAGCAGCCTCACAAATCCCATGAATAACATGCACAGATGTGCACGCAGTTTATATGCATCACTGTCAGAGCTGTGAATGTACATTAATGCTGGTTTAGAGAGTATTATTTACAATAACTGTCTGCAGATATATTTTGAGGATCTTGATACATTTCTTGTACACTCATGACCCAACACAACATCATATTTTCACAGAAGTGATTTAAATAACATCAAGAGAACCAAAATGTGTTGAATTAGTCGCAAATAACATATTTGGTTGTTAGAAAATAATGCTCAAATGACTGGTTGTGATTAGGAATAATCAGCAGTTAATTTGAATGAGAAGTAACAATTCTTGGTTTCTAGACTAAATCTTTTATTGTCATTATACATACTATTAATATCTAATCATAACAAAACATATGCAGCAGTAACAACTGCACAAACAGAGAGAATCACTGAGGAACTTTAATTGTTTGCTTGGCCACAAACGATCCGTCAAATTAAAATGTTGTCAGAAGCCCTTAAAGTAAACCAACAATAGATTGCTCCAAGCTGATATGTTGGATATTGCAGTTCAGAGGGCCACACCTGATTCTGAAAGCTGTGGTTTGCTTTTGCTGCCAAATAATGTAACACAGAATGCTTTCAGAACTTTTGCGAAAAGCTGACAGTGATATAGAAGTATAAAAAGCTTCTCACAAAATATTCACAACATCATTTTTAAAACTTTGTTTTCTTTGGGCAGAAGGAAAATTAAATGTTTTCTTGCTTTATAGAGCAAAGTATGTCTTGATTTTCAGTTTAAATGTGACTGGAAACAACAAAGAGAATTCATCATCAGGTGGATTCATCATAAACTAAAAGTAAAAAGTATTTTCTTTGAAAATAAATAAATGCATAAAAAGATCAATTAAATTTTTGTCTCCCGGTTTGGTGTGGGAGTCGCCAAAGAAGAAAAAATACACAAACTCTGCGTGAAGACCCTGAGAATAAAGCTGCATGCACCCACCCTCTAGCACACCACTAAATGAAAAGACTCCCATATTACCCTAAATCAATCGACTCAGAGATAAGTACCTCTGAATGAAATTGTTTCCTTACCTTTTGACATGACTGGCTTGTAAGCACATGCAGGGCAACCGCTGTTCATTTACAATGTTAACGGAGGCCTCCACTGTTTAAACTGCGGGTTGGACAGGACTGTAGTCTTTGTAGCAACAATCTATACAACTGCTGATGATATACTTATACTCATTCAGAATCCAGCAAATATACCACCCATGTAAATAATCTAAAGTATGTGCATGACACATTGTGCTCCTGTTGCATTAAAAGGGCTTTTCCAGGATCATCCTCACATGAGCTTCTTCAACATGCCCTATATAACCGGTCACATATGCATTATCAAGGGTCTGCAGTAAATGCTGTTAATAACTAATATCAAATCGCACAGAAATGCTGCAAGAGCTGATGGAAACTGGAGGGAGTTTTGCCACTGTATACAGTTTAAAGCATGTGTTTATATGTAATATTCTCTCTTTTTAGAAGGGTGCACTGCTTAGGGCAACTGTTAAGATTGCTTCCAGAAACACAATCACTTTCAGAGGATCAGGTTTCAGACTCACACCTTGTAACCGCTCTGACAGAGAGAGCACAATAACTTATGTGGATAACATATTGCAGTATATCTCCATAGCCTAACATTTACTGAATGAGAGTTCTACCAAAAGTAAACTAGTCTTTTGAAGCCCAAAGCACAGTTTTTTTTTTATTGTTATTATTTCTTATTTTTGTTTCACTCATCTAAATTCTGGATGCAATACAAAGTTGAGTATTGACAAGACTCTAGCTGAGACTATCAAGGTATCACCTCATTTGTGATGGGGTATAATTGCACTACTATCATTTCTATGTATGCTTACAGATGCAATAAATGCACTAAGTTTGAGTTGTATGCACCCTCTATAGTGACCAATCTGCATGGCCGACTGATGGTGTCAACATTTCTCCTGATTTCAGACAATTCAGCAAGATAGATTATATCCAGCACCATGTGATGGTGACGTGTACAGGGTGCATCTTTGTTAATGGCACACATGACGGAGGAGGTGAATAAAACATTTATCTAACAACACTGGGGGACTGTGTGTATTTATTTCTCATCTGTCCTTTTGTAATACAGCCGACAGGGGGCAGAAGATGAATCAGTTGTGACTGTTCGTCCCCTTAGACAAGGAATTCAAAGCTGAATTTTAATGGTAGATAAATATTATGTAAAGGGTTTTTGTTTCCATTCTAATTTCGAGCTGAAAAGGCTGATTCACTTCAATAGAAAAACAACAAAATACACTTTTTTTTTTCAAAATATACAATAAACTTGTCATTCACAAATCTCATTGAGATTATTTATTCCACATCAACTGATTTATAGCTAAATCTTTATATCATACAAAAAATTGCCACAAACTCTGGTGACTTCACAAATGACTCACAGTAATCGTAGATCTTACCACCACCTGCTGAAAACATATGATAAGAGTCAACTCTTGGTCTTATCTCTTGAGAATTGTGACTCAGCTTTTGTTTATTTTCTTATGTGATGTGTTGATTGCTATCATTCTCTCATTGTGTTGATGTTAATTAGCAGCCCTGTGGCCAAATATATGGATGTGTAATGGTTTAGAGCTGAGAAAAAAGCTCCTTCCCATCAACCAACCCCTCTTGGATTCTAACCTCTTTCAGCCACCTCTCTCTCATTCTATAACACCAGCCATATTGGAAGGTGTCACTTTATGCCTGCTGATTATTCACAGCCACCTGTCACCGTCCCAACAGAGGGGCTCCGAGGTGCTTTCAGAGGCATCGTGTAGACTCTGTCACATTAAAATGGATGTGAAAAGTTTAGTGTTTTCAATTCTTCTGTACTTTTTCTGACCACAGCACGCATTATTCTACAATGAGCTAAACTATTTTGTGGAAATATTTAGATTAAACATTGATAATACTGTCTGCTGATGGAACAACTGAAATCCCAGCCTTTCACTCTCCCTCTCACTACTTGGAGGTGTTCGGGACAAAGAATCCGTCACAGTTCTGTGACTGTTCCTGTAACCTGGAACTCAACATCATCTATCTGTGGCACATGAATACTTGATACGAATACTTCATTTGCTGCAGCATTCGTCGCTGTGAGTAACTCAGTTTGTGGCAAAACAGAAGTGACAAATTAAAAAATCAAAGGTGCCAAGCTTCATGCCGTTAACACTCATCTTCCATTCATTGCAAACTATTTCCATGTTAACAAATACATAAATACTTGTCATTTTTTCTTGTGTTGCTGTGATTAGATTTGAATGCCTTTTTTGAAAGAATTAACTTCAAATCTAAATAACCCTATGAGATCAAGAGGAAAGATGATAAATTAAACTGGTCAAATTCTGAATTTGATGGCGAAAAACAGGAGGGAGCACAGAAAGATTCCCACGGGCAGGCACTTCCATAGCAGCTGGAGCAATGTTTGCAGTCGACAGGGTTGTAGAAGGCAGACAGCTCTCAGCATGGGGACGTTAAATGATATGAGCTGTTAAATGAATTGTTTTTTATCTTTAAAGCCTCCCAATGGCATGGTTTCCATACAGTAACAACCTTTAAGGTGTGAAAGCCGGTGTCTTTGAGCAGCTTACATCAGTGAGTGGACCCATGACTTGACCCTGTGGGTAGCTTATAGCAGGTTATCAGTCGGGGCTCACAGTGTCAGCATGGTGGCGGCACACAGAAAAGAAACACAGGTCAGTTTCCCAAGTAAAAAACGGACACTCACAAATCACTCAGTAGGATGTAGAATAAGAAACTGAACTGCAAAAAAACTTGCTGGATTGAAATATTGTCCAAAAGCTTTGTGCAAGATAATACTCATGTTAATTTTATATTTTTAACGTACTTGTCCATGTACATCTGACACAATCTAAGCATCTTCTTTTCCATTACGGAGTAAAGGGAGCAAATTGGAAAAGCAAGATTTTACGATGTCTGGATAAATTGATTGCAAATTAAACTAATTATCCCACAGTGGATCAGTCTGATTGTCTAATTGTCCTCAGATAATGGTTTGCCATTGATCCAGCCAGTCCGGTCTATCAAATCCATCAGTCAGAGTGACAGAACCCACACATGCCTCCTGGTCACTAGTAGTGAATTCATCTTAACATTAAATACGTTTTAAAATAGAGAAGATGTTTAAATCATTATTAAATTGAACCATTTGCACTTTTGGTAAACTGGCAATATTCTTAATACATTCTAATGAGAATTTGATGAAAATATTCGAATTTTCTTTAGAAATTGACATGACTGCCATTGTCTTGTCATCTTTGCCCGAATAACTCTTAAAAGTGATAAGGATAGTATATTTCCTCCCTGGGTGCAGCAGAGGACGCCTGTGGAATGGAGGGCTCTGATTGGCTGCTGAGCGCCGGTATAAAGGCCCGCGGTGGCGAAAGGAAGCAGATCAACTGCTGGCATCCTCCGACAGACAGAACGGGAAGGCTTTGCACACTTGGACGATTTCCTGCCTCTTTTGTTGCTCGTTTTTTTTTACATTTTCTGCAGGAAAACTCTGGACAGGGTTTGCACCATGAAGGAGAGGAGAAACACACAGCCGCTCGTGGTGAGATGTAAACTGGTTCTTGTTGGAGACGTTCAATGCGGAAAAACGGCGATGTTGCAAGTCCTCGCAAAGGATTGTTACCCAGAGGTAGGTGTGCTCCAATATGAGTCATACTTGTGAAAATAAACTACGAACATTCTAAATTTTAAATTCAGTTTCACGTGTCCTGTATGTTAACAATCAGAATATTTCCAGGTATCTAAAAAGGGAAAATGTCAGGGGAATAAACGGTGCGTCTGTTGCAATACTTTGACGGGTTGCATGCGCATTTTCTTTTTTTTTTCTTTTTTTGTTTAATAGTTTATTTAGCTTTTGCTGAAATAATGATGGTTGTATAAGCTTTTCATTGCATAAGCAACAAAGCCTGTTCTCTTCCCATACGCACTTGGGAATGAATATTCCTACAGCAAATTTCCAGCAGCTGCAGTCATTCCAGTGATTGATTGGATCACACAATGGTTTCTAACACTCCACATTTGAATAACTCTTTTCCTATGTCTTTACCCATTTGCAAGTGTTGCTGTGAAGAGCTAGATAACTCTTTTGCCTTTGTTGCCACTAATGGGGCCTTGTTACTAATTGCTCCTCAGACCTACGTGCCCACGGTATTTGAGAACTACACAGCCTGTCTGGAGCTGGAGGAGCAGCGAGTGGAGCTCAGTCTGTGGGACACCTCAGGTACCTGATCGTCTTCTTGATATGCGACTCATGACCTGCCATTTCTGCCTGAAGCACAGAGGGATGCTCACTTAGACGGTGCCCTGTAGATTCAATCAGTGGGCCTCAGTGGGGAGTAAACCCCTGAATGTCTTCCTCTTGTACAAGACGCCTGAAATTGTGCTGGCACTATCTATTTTTGAAGTTTTGAAGAGAGGAGATAAAATGGAGATAAACGTTGGCACTCCGTCTTCGAGCCTACACGCAGGCCTCATACACTCTGTTTTTAATCCATCGTTGGAGAAAAGATACGAGAACTTGTTGCACTGCGGGTTCTCAAGTCATTTTCAAATCAACCTCATGTGCTTTTCCATGTGGCTTAAAAAGGGATTTTCGGATCTACAGATTTCTATTTGCACAGGGGATTTTAGTGGAAACTGCGCAGAATGACAGTAATTATTCCGGTTCACTCACCGTTAATGGCGACTTTGTGCGTGGTATGTTAATTTACACTAAGCATGAAAAAGAGGGTCGAGTGTCATTTAGATCCCCTGGGAGATCTGCTATTTAATGTGTTGACCTGAATCCTGCAAGCATGGCTCTGTGGCACCTGTTTGATTCCCTTCATGCTCATTGCCAGACATTATCTTTGCCCAGCACCAAATCCTCTTCATTTGACTCATCTTGCATCCATCTGCATCCTCATTTGGTCAGCACATCAGAGGAAATGGTGTGCTTCTTTTTTTTTGTGTGTGTGTATTATGTCCATTTGAGCAAACAAAAGCCCTTATGTAATAGACCCCTGTCTGGGAGACAATGCTATAGTGAGTGTGTTCCCATATTTTTAACCCGTTATCAAAATGTGGCAGCATGGGGACAAAAAAAAAAGAATTCAAATGAATTTAATTCCCTCCCCAGACCAAATCCTGTTTTTTTTTAATCCGAGACTGTGGACCTTTGGTCTGGCCAGCAGGAGTGGGCCTTCTGCCCAGGGATGATGGGCACAGAGGGACATCCTGTTGCGCAGGAAGGTTTTCTGGAGCAGACAGATAGAAGGGTGCACAGAAACTATGGTGACCTGCATTTTCCTCCATATGCTGCTCTGGGTCACCCGCACGGACAGCGTGATCCAGGGGATTAAGACTCTGAATGGGACCACTGGGCCAATACTTTTTTTTCTCTTTCTTTCTTTATCTTCTATATTTGTGTTAGTCAATTGATAACTTGCAAAGGCCACAATGAGCACATTCAATAACATGTGCATGCCGCCCAATTTGTAAAAGTGTAAAACATCTAGTACATAAAGATGGCTTACAGTTATTGATACAACTAAACATGGTGCCCATATCTTGTTGCACTAGATGGACAAATGATGTCCTCTCATATAGATGTCTCACGTCCTATCGGGGCCGTGGAGATTGACGCCTGACAGTTTCTGCTTCTTGCTGTAATTTGCTCTAATCGTGCACATGGTATTCTCGTGGTTCTAGCGCACTGGAAGAGTATCCTCAATGTCCCTGATCCTTTCAATTGATTAAAACTGACCCCATCACTGGCCCCACATGGCAGGAAGCTCCTTCTCCCAGGTCCACCATGGATTTGCAGAGCAAAATCAATCCCCTGGTTTTAATCAGCCTGATCTGATCGAATGTGCAGGGAGGAGAGAGGAAGAGGGGAAGGTGAACACTGTCCGATGGCCATAACTCATGAATAGTTAATGATGAATGTTATTATGGTGTTAGTGAGTCATTTGTTTTAGGTTGAGCAATCCTGCCGTTGAGGTCTTTGAGCATTAGAGGATGCTGCGTATGTAATCATTTTTCGTATGATCTGTAAATTAGATTGATTTGGAATGAACCCAATACCCATTTGGGTTGATGAAACAATCTCTTGAATTGGAAAACAGAGGCATGGATAAAAGACAATAATCAGCTAGATGGAAATGTATCTGAAACTTTAGAAGCCAGTCTAGCCTGTGATAACATTGAATTCTGCAGGACTCAGCCATTGTAAAAGTCCCTTTTTTTTTTTTTTTTTCTTAAAAGACCACGCTGCAAACTTGTCTCCAAGCTTGTGTTGCTGTTGTTGTTTTTATCCATAAAACACAATATGCTAGTTCTTGTTTCTTAAAGGCTCCTATCCAGTTTTCAAAAAATGTAATCTTTTTGTTCTTTGTATCGCTCTTGTGCACCACAAGAGTCACAAATCGGAGTTGTACTAATCCAGCCTCACGGCAATACGCTAAAGAGTCGAGTTGATTTGATTTGTTCGCAGACATCGTTGTTGCTGTTTTACTGAACTCCAGCACACACAAACACGGAAGCACATAATGTCACAGCTTATTGTCAAACGAAAACTTGAATTATTCTTCATATTTAATAGTGAAAATGGGCACAATCTCTCAGATAAGGGAGAGATTTAAGATTGAGTCCTGTGGCCACCAGTGCCATGAATTATGGTTTTGCATTCAGTCAGAATTTCAAAGCACTCTCGCTTGATTCTTGTTTTTATATATTCCAAACTACTAAAAGGTATAAAAACTGATGTGACTAAGGATATGTTTAAAAAATGGTAAGGATTATATATTAGGGAACACTTGGTTTAGGTTTGGTTTAAAACAATTTGGCTAACAGAGGGGAAACATCCGGTCTTGCACTAAAGTCAACCCTTTTGTATAATTTTGCTTGGATTGTCTGTCCCTGAACCTCTTTAGCTATGCATGAAATCCACTGAGCAAATAACCTAAGCATCCCATTGAAATGCATTAATTTAAAGGTCACACTATAAACGGCACAAAAAAAGAGGTTGTGACCTGGTGATGTACACGTGAATGTTTTACCAGTTAAAGATGTATCAAGCTTCATAAGTTATGGGATAGGTTTTTCCCTTCCCATGAATGAATAAAAAGAATGGCAATTAAAAAGATAATTAACATGTTACAAAGCTTCATTTACACCATTTAGCTGTGTAATACTTTGTTGCATTTTCATACAATGAAGCACATTTGTCTGCAAAAATCCATCATTTACTGGAATTTCTTACTATGATGGGGATTGAAAATATGACTTGAAAAGCGTCTTTGAAAATCAAAGTTTGGACACCTGGACTTATCTCCTTTGACAATATCAAAGCTCAGCTTGTTAACAGTTCAGATGTGATGGTTGTAAATAAAGAGCCTTAGCCTGCAGGGGCCTTCAGCAGTGATTCTGCCTGTCTGATCTCAAACTATGGAACAACTTTCTGACGCAATGTAGTATGTGTTTTATTTTTAGGTTTTTTTGGGGGGTTAGGCTGTTAAGTCTGTAGTTAGCAGACTAGAAGCTGTTGGCTTCTACAGTTGAGGAGTGTGGGTGGAGTAGCAGGTTGTTCTCATCTCCAAAACTATGAGTTATCCCATCACTGGATCATTAGTCTGTCTGACCCCTGCATTCTCAGAGTGAGAGGAGGAGCGCTAATGATGAAAACAAGCTTTTGTCACTTGCTTGATTGAGCACACTCGCACGGTACACTCACACACTCACTCAAGCACACACAGAATAGCTGATGCTCCCTTCCCCCACCTGTATGCTCCAACACAAGGCTCTCCATCTCCACCCCTGAAATCAACAGTATTTCCGCTCTGGTCAATATTCTTTTCCCCCACATTCCTCTCTGGCCACGGCATTATCAAGATGGATTAAGTTGTTGTCAACCACAAGATCTGGGTTGTGCTCGTGTCTTTTGGTGCCATTCCCTAATCAGTTGCCCTCTCTCTCCATGTTTCATGCCTCAAAAGCTCTCCATCTGCCGTAGAAGCAGGCTATTAAGAAAGGGAGGGGAGGAAACATTTGGGCCATACTTATCTCTGCATGGACATTGATTTGTCTGTCCCAACTATTTTCCTCCTTGTTGCAATCAAGAGGAAAAGAGTGAAGCAGACTGGTACCCTGAGATCTCAGACTACAAAGGGGGAAGGATTTATGGCACAGGAAGACTCTGTATGACACACCTCAGGATAGTGCACCCCTGCTTTCGATGCTATTTATATTGTAACAATAGAAAAAGCCATGTCTGAAGTCTGCTGCTGCATACGAACATCCTGTTGAGGAATTAGCTTTAGGATTTTTAACGCTCAAGGATGCAGATAAAGGCATTTTAGTCTTTTCCCAAAAAAAATCTGTTCATCATCCCCATTTCTTGACAGCATCACTTGTTTGTCAGTTGTGATAGCCAAGACTTCTGGACCTCCGGTCCTTCAATTGATTGCTGCTTTAAGATCAGGGGCTATTTAATGCAGACTCACACCACGTCTCCCCTGGCAGGAGATTGAGTCAATTTTTTTGACACCACACAGACTCCCCAGAGACAGCCCAGCACACACAGATAAAACTCAATCTCATCATCCCAGTGGTAATCGTTCTCATTATAATGTGTCAATTTTCACTGTCAGCTAATTTTGTTTAGTTGCTGGGCTGTTTATACGTATCTAGTGATATAAGCAACTAATAGGATTTGCATTCTTATCATTCTGATGTCTGTTATCTTTGTCAGGTAAATTGCTTCAATTACAATGTGTCTGTTTGTTTGTAAGGGTAGTATAAAGTCATTTTAATTTCTAAAGCCACTATACCACAGCTATTGTATAACAACATAACCCTTTGTTCTTTTGCAGCAGTGTTTACTCTTTTCTGGACATTGGGTCCTGAGAAATTTCATCACAGCTTGTCATTATTCCACTCACGCCGGCAGCTGGCAAATTCTCTTTTACCCTTTGATAACATGCCAGGTCATTAAGTATTCATGAAACTGTCCAATGTGCCCAAATATATGTTCTGTGTGCTTTTTCCATGTTCTTTTTCTCTTCTATGAGATGTATCCATTTTGATGTCTGTGTAATATCTAATGGGTGATTATACAGACTGTTTTTGCTATCTGGAACTTTAAGAAGAGCATTTGTGCTGAGACTGAAGTAAACATATTAATCCCACTGAGCGGGGCATGTCGGGGCATGGGCACACTTCTGTTTGCAGCCAAATTTAGAAAGTGAGTCGATGTTACCAGGTCCGTTTTAATGTGTAGATGAGTGTCTTTTAGAATGCTTGATGTGTTGAGTTTCAGCAACTCTGTTATAGGGAAGGATCTTCCCTAATAGCAGGTGGGTGGGTAGTTTGTGGTGGGAAATGATTGACTGGCAGTTAAGGCGAGCCTTTATAGAAAGGTGGGAGGAGTGCCTGATGTAGATGGTGAATTCCAAGGCTGTTGCTGTGGTAACAGAGGGACTAGAGGTATTGCTTGCCGAGCATAGGATTTTTGGGGGGTGGGCGACTTACTTAAGGATTCTGAGCATGAGTGGGAGCGTCTGCCTGGCCCAAGCCCCACCGTTTCCACTCACGTATTCTACTGCAAGGAAAGATCAATGAGGATTTAGTGTTCGATTGTCATCGTCTCCTCTTCTGAAATGCCAACAAAGAATGTAGGAGCAGGGAAAAGAGCAGTTTGAGGAGCAGCAAAGTGAAGCTCAGCGGGAGGAACTGAACAAAATCTCTGCAGCTGTATTCACCCGCTCCACCTCTGTAACTACTGTGACAACTACATACAATATTAAAAGAATGATGGACTCTGCATACAAACTTTCAAACAGTGGAGAACGAATTCACACCCCAGTGGGATGCTCTTAAAAAAACATAAATATACCGGATAAGGGGTGTAGGGATCCTCTGTGCCATTCCTCACTCAAGAAAAAAACGTGTCAAATTGCACAATGGAAACCATGACAACATATATTATTAATATGTTCAGGATCCAAATAAATGTTTTTAGGAATGGGAGGTCTTCAGGCACATCAATAATACTGCTCTTCTCTGTCCTTTGTTAGGTTCTCCCTATTATGATAATGTGAGACCCCTGTGCTACAGCGACTCAGACGCAGTCTTGTTATGTTTTGACATCAGCCGCCCGGACACTGTTGACAGCAGTCTGAAAAAGGTAATGGCTCCTTTTATTCAGTCACTACTAGTTCTTCTAGCCCACATGCGGCTGTCACATGTTGTGACAATGTTTCTCCATTTTTGGATAACGTATTTATACTTGTGCATTGCACGTGAGTGTTTTATTTTTCATTTTTGGATATATTGAATAACTATCAATTTGCTTTCCCAGTGGAAGACTGAAATTCTGGACTTTTGTCCGAGTACACGTATTCTGCTTATTGGCTGTAAGACTGACCTCCGCACAGATGTCTGCACACTGATGGAGCTGTCCAACCAGAAACAAACTCCCATCACCTACGAGCAGGTGAGATCAAGGATCAACTTGCTTATCAGGGATATAGTCAATACTATTGAATATCTAGTTGTTGTTTTGTTTTTTGTTTTTAAATGTGATTCCAGATTATTGAAAATAAAACCTTTATTTAATTTTTATCTGTAAAAACATCTTTTAAAACAGCATATTTGGCCTGAAAAGTAACTCAGTCATCAGTTTCGGTTCACTTATTTGATTAGACTAATTCCAAAGAAAACTGGGACTCATAGATTGCTTTTCCTTTTTCAACTATCTTGGATATAATCATTATCTGAGGATTCTGGATGATGCACTGTATTTTCCAGCTCTGTCAATGAGCCTTGGTGTCATTTTCCTTCGTCTCACTTCATATTCTTTCTAGTCTTTACTGGTCTTCTCTACATGGTAAAGCGAAGTTTAAAAGGCTCATTTTGCTGAAGGATATTATGAAAAATAGACTTTTATACCAATTCATTGCAGGGTTCTGCTATGGCCAAGCAACTGGGTGCAGAAGCTTACCTCGAGTGTTCTGCATTCACCTCAGAGAAAAGCATCCACAGTGTATTCCGCACCGCAGCGATGGCCTGCATCAACAAACTGCAACCTCTCCCAAAGCCCAGCCCCACCCGCCGCCTCTCCAAAAGACTGCTCCACCTGCCTAGCAAGTCTGATTTGCTGTCCTCCACCTTCAAGAAAGAGAAGGCCAAAAGCTGCTCAGTAATGTGAGTGGGGACCTTTTGGGTTACAGTACTCGCGTGCGACTCCTTGCCCCAACCTCTTTGGACTGGGGGAAGGGGGGTGGGCATGATGGTTTTATCAGGGTCTCCTGCTGAATCCTTCCCTCACCCCCCCAGATACCAAACACTTCTCAGAAGAGGTGGACACTTTGCTGTCCACTTGCTCCTGAACCTTTTGGCCCATATCCATTTTTTTCTCCACCGTTTAACTTTGCTTTCGAACAAAACCGTGTCAGTAAAGGTTGAACCATCAAGCTATCATTTTTTTCACGTGTTAACATTATGCAACTACAGCGGTGTTACATCTGTCTGATTTTATTATCTATATGCACATGTTGATTTTGTCCAGTATGGAAATGTGCAACGTGTAACGTTTAATCTTGTGATGTAAAAAAATGCCTCTCCGAAAAATCAATGGATATTTTTCTAAGTACATGAAAAAAATCTAGCATGAGACTGTCCGGAATTAGCTAAATCCTGTACAGGCTGTACAGGTGAGGTGTGAAATAAGTGCAACTGTTTTTCCCTTTTCATGAAAGTGCAGAGATGCACTGGGACGACAGGGAAAACCACTGAGAACTATTACACAGGGAGTTTTCTTTTTTTTTTCGGTTTTTTTATTTTATTTGATCATAACTGTCTCAGTGATGAGAGCAGGGATAAGTGCAGGGCTGCTTCGCAGACAGCAGGCTAGACTGAATCAACCTGCATGGATGGTTGATGTAGCGTTATGGTCTGTACTAGTCCGCAGGTTTTCAAAGGGTGAGGGGGAGAAGGCTGAGGAAATTCTGTATATTCAAAATGCAGAAAATTGAATGGGAAAAAATGCCTCAAAAGAGGACAGGAAAAGTAGGTGGTGGCTCCTCAAGGCCACCGGAGTTTCTGCTGTCAATGAAACAGACATTTCAATGGAAAGGAAAAGATCATTTTATTGTGACCAGCAACTCAACCATAAACTGCTAAAGCTGTCAAGCCATTGAATGTTATTTATGAAATTGTAGCAGGTTATTGAGGCCAGGCGAGATGCTGGGAGCCACATTTAAAAGGGTGAAACGAACTCCTACCTGAGTCAGACTGACCAGGTATGTGATAAATCTGATGTGTATTTTGGAATATTCTTTTGAAATGATTTGTAGCAATGCATTGTTGACAATTTGTTAAACAGTTGTCACGATGAAAGCAGCTTTGAAATGCCTTTCATATCATATTCCTGACAGTTATTGATGTTCTGGACTCCAGTATTGGTGAAACATGGCTATGGATTTCTCTCATTTGCATCAATCTAATGTAGCACTCCCAAGATGACTCTAATTTTGTTTTGCACACACTTGTCAATCTATTGACCTCCAGTAAGTAGCACTTATTGTAGGTCCATGACTATGGGGGGAAAAAACATTTAAAAACAAATAACAGACACTTTTCTTATTTGAAATCTTTGGCTTTATGGTTATGTGTGTGTGTGCAGCATTGAAGTCTATGCTTCTAACCATAAAGCAATAATGATTTAAGTGCTTACGATGCAAGGTGACCTGTGTGGCAATAATGATACAGCTTTCTGACTACTGTCATGCTATAAGTGCTCCATGAACTGACTCGTTATAGACTGAAACCATCTCTGCAGTGTAAAAAAGGCTGCTGATCTCCATTTGCCCCCTTTTTCTGTGTTGGTTGCTGCTGGTTTGTTAAGTAACCAGTGGCATATTGTGCTCTGAAAAGAGTACGGGATTAAAAGGGAACATGTCTCTTTAAGCTAAAAATGCCAGACTTTGCTGCCAGTTCTACATGATTTTAATGAAGGATATTGCGGTTGTAAAACTCAATTGAACTGTTTTTGTGACTTGACAATGACGTTCTTTCAAAATTTGGAAATATACTTCAAAAGTCTAACAATTATTAATGAAGGGCTAGTAAGAACAAAAAAAAGAAAATGATAAGGGACTACGTAGAACAAATAATCAAATTGCACAGGCTGGCCCTGTCCAAAGAAAGCTATTTTTCCATTCTTCTTTTTGTGCGCGCGTGGGTGTTTTTGTGTATTTAATGGCATGATGTGAGTTCCCATGTTATTTTGGAAATATCTTCCTGACATGGCTTTTGTGTCTTAGCGGAGCTGTGGGCTGCCCTTGGTAAATGGAGGAACTTAAAGTGGTGATTTGCACAAAGGCTTCCAGTTCATGGTAACACACCAAAATTCCTCAGCATTGCCTAGCAACAATTCTGTGCAGAAAACAGACACCCGTGCTTGGGAAGGTTTTGTGGACAGACGGGTTGAGCGCACAAGCAGACGTCTCCATATCCGTCATTACCGCATCATTAATGCATTATATGCTTGTTAGAAAAACATTTTGTATTTTTCTTTGAGTCAGAGTAAAGTTGTGAACTTTGTACGGGCAGCCCAACGATCATTTCAATGAATATGCAGCCTTTGTGTTGTAGTGTGTGGTAAAATGGTGCAGTAAAACTCCTACGCATGTCCTAATAAACTTGTATGATTGTACATACTGTCTTTTATTTTAGTCACTGGAAGACATCTTCAAGGTTGTCACAAGAGAATCATTTTGCTGATGTGAATATTTATTTGGTTGCTAAGTTTGCCTTTTTTTTTTTTTCTTTTTTTTTTTTAGCAACATCTGCATTTGTTAAAAATCTATTTTGGAAATAAGATTTCTTTACTACTGATTTGTTTTATGTTTATTGCTGTGTGGAATAAAGCTTGCCTTGTGCAGCAGAGAATGTTTTTCTTGTTTTCCCTCACTCTCTCTTTCTCGCTCAAATTTCACACAGCAATCAGCCATCTTTGCAGGAACATTGGCACTTATCTTAATTTGCTTTATCAGAGCTTATAATTCCTCAAAGAGGCTCTGTGCGATTGTACGCATGGAGAACCTACTTCATTAAGGCTAGAGAAAGTTTAGATAAGGATGTATCGGTGATTGGTGTCATTTTCTTCCTCTCTGCAACCCTCATACTCAATCCGTGTCGCTGTTCAGGAGATGTGAACACAGGCCAAGGAAAAAAAAACATGTAGATAATTAACATGTTTTGTAATTGATCACTTTCTACAACATATCAGGCACAATAAAGATGGGATGACAATATTCTTTAGTACTGACGACTTGTAAGACAGACAGCAAAGACTTCATCTGATCTGTCTTCAAACACAACATCTGGTCGCTGCCAGCTGCAGATGTGTCCAGGTTTGGCCTGGAGCCACACGAGTGGCTGTGGTGCCAGCAGGCCAACCGGTGGATGTGCCCTCACGTAGCCTTTCGTTCTGTGCCACAGGCTGTAAACCCGTGCTAATCAGTTCTAATGAGACTGTGGTGTGACATCTGCAAGGTAGATTAGAAACAGGGGCCACTAAAAAGCATGGCAGCTATGTTGTGCTTTTACAATCAAGTTGATGTTTCCGATGGCTCTGTAAGTCACATTCAGCTACTCGCACAGTTATTTCACACACACACATTTGAGCAGTTTAGCTCAAGGTATTTAGCTCAAGCTTAAGGTATTTTTCTGCTGTCAACACTTTTTTCTGCTCTACTTCTTAAGCCACAGCACACAGACTTGGGGTGCCACTGCTACTTATATAAAAAATGGTCATGTTAAATGGATAACATTTGAACTTGAGCAGCAACATTTTGCCACCAACCTTCTCATGAATTACCCAAGAGTAAATCTGTAATTTTCCATGCCCCGCTATCAAAAAATAATCTACACCGTGTTGTGAAACCATAAAAACAGTCAAGATTATAGAAACTGCAGAGTGCTAATTTTCATTGTTAGCTCTTCTCTTTTTTTTCTGACATTTTCACTAAAATAGATGCCTTTTATTGCTACAGTGATTAATCCTGGATTAAAAAGGACATCAGAATCCGCCCTGAAATAACCAGGCCGCGCATATAATCAGAGATGGACCTGGGATAAGCTCTTACAGAATTATGAAATAAGAGCAGGCGCAATTATGTGACTGCATGATCCGGAGTTGAGCATCATGACTGAACACACAAAGATGCTTTGAAACATTACGAAACTGGACTGATGATTTTGACTCTTTTGACCTCTCACTACTGCTTGGTAAATGGAATGGCTGCCAAAAACAAAGTGAATTATGGGCTATCAGTGAGTTGAATGCTGGACCACCTGAGGCAGACACACAAATGCAGACACACACACACAAACACACATTGGGTGTGAGGGCTTGTAAATGGGCCACATACGTTGCTAGTCATTCTAAATTAGGCCAACATCTGGACAGGCACAGAGAGTTCAAATGCCCACTCAGCTGTAGTTTGTACCCCGAGGGCTCACTTAAGGAATAGTAGTTTAAAGACACAATCCAGTACACTTTTTGGATCAGCCCAGCCAATTCATCAAACCCCTGCCATCCACAGTCCCCTTTGAGAAGTTCTACATGCCAGCAGCTCACCTCAACCCAGGATTACGATACTGGCATTACAGAAGCTTTAGCCATACATGGTAAATTTACTGAGATTTGCTATTGGATTTACTCTGATTCTCACTCAAATCCACACAAAGATTTAATTCAGTTTCAGTATCATCCAATATGCAGTTGACATTGAGTTGATTTAATCTAAATCAGAATAAACTATTAAATAGTGTGGCGAGTTATTGCACAAAAATGACAACACACAATCATAATCTATATGTATCTAAAACTATCTTTGCAGCTAAGCATTAATCTTTGATTAATGATGAGGTGGGATGAGGTGTTGAGTCATGCAGTGCATGCTCTGTCTCATTCTCTCTCCCTCTCTCTCTTGCTAGCAGACACTCTGATACTGGATCATCTGCCTCTGCCGCAGTGCAGGGAAGGGCCAGAATATCCAAACCCATCAACTTCCTGCTCACAAGCTATGTCCTCAGCAAGATGTAATGAGACAAGATCATTTTAGCTGTAACACCTGAGAGTATACGCCTTTTAGAAATGCTTAATCTTGATAAGGATTTTATTCAGGAATAATTTCCATTGCTTTAATGTGTACTTGTTGCTTTTTGTATCAGTAGAGAGGCCAGTTTGCTAAACTGATCTGAACCGGACGATAAAGAAAACTGGAGTGTCATCAAATATTTGCAGATATTCACAGGGAGAATTTTGTTAAATTCCCCACATCCAGCTGCGTGTGAAACGCATCCTCATTACAATGGAATCCCTAAGCATCAAGTCAACATATCAGTCAGTTTTATTCAGCCATCCATCATTTCCTTGATGAAGTGAATCCCCACATAAATTAATTTTAATCAAACCTGATATACACAATGATTAATTAAAAACTTTCAACACCACACATATTTGTTGATAAGCAAATTCTACGATGTAAATTTGCCAAACTATTATCTCATCAGCATCAATATGTTAGAATCACTACTATAAACTCTTATATAGTAGTGACTCTTAATGCCCATCGCAGCTTACTGTACACTCTATATTTATCTTAGCATCAAAACTTTACAAACCAGTCACTTTAAACCTGAAAGAGATCAAGAAAGTTTTTCCAAAGCAAGAGACGGATACTGAAGAACAGCCTCTCCACAGCCCCCTCCGTTAAGCTTGACCCTTGACACTAAAATCCCTTCTGTGGCTGCCCCAGAGCTCTGTCATGATTGTCTGTTTCACTAGCAAGAGCAATGAGCTCAGTCAAACGTGAGCAATTGCTTTTATTCGCTGTATTCACAATGGAAACACAAAGTAGCACTTCTGACACAGGGCCGTTTCTTGAGCTTGTTAGTTTTAAAGGTAGGTGGAGTGGAGAGATTGTGTTCTTTGTAGGACTCACGGTTTGACCAGAAGCAAATAAACAGGGTTTGCTCTATTCCTTAAAGTGCCTGTGTGCAAGCATCTAGGTCTATGGTACTGTTCCTGAATAGCAATCCTGAATAACAATCATTTTCACAACCTGAAATACATGTCACTGTAGATGACAGAGATTCAAACTCTGGTGCAACGCACAAAATAGAAGCTGACAGGTTTATTTCACACAACCACGCACCGAAATGAATAAGGCTGGTATAGTAGATGAACACAAATCGTTACACGAATCCCAAACCGGGCATCATACAAATGGAGAGGACTGACACAACAGCAACAGGCTCTGTGCCCTTCTTTGTGATCACTGGGGCAACCGCACACAATGGACAGTGCCTGCACCGCTGCACACAATGTGACGCTGACTGTGCGCTAGCACACGAGGAGGAGCACTGAGCCGTTCCCTCAACTCTCAGACACGCACCCAGAGACACACGAGCACGCTGGATTTGGCTACAAGCCACATCCTGCATGCGTCTGCACAAGCCAAAATAACATGTAGACATCCCATGCTGCGCCCGTTTGCTGTGCCCCCTCAGCCGCATCAGTGGAGGAATAACCAGATAGCAGTGTTCAATCCTTCATGCTGATTAAAATTCTAAATCAGGTCACCCGTATCAGACAGCAGTAATAATTACTACTCGTACCATATTGTGTGTCTGCAGCTTTCGCCACAGTTACTTTTTTACTCAATGGTCTTGTGCATAAATATTGATTTCTTTGTACAAATGTGCAACCCAGTCATCCTCATTCACTCAGAGAAAACATCCACAATCACTGAAGAGGGCATCCTTCAAAGAAGAAATCAGGAGTAAGTGTATATGCATGTGTGTGTAAGTGTTACCCTTGAGGGCTCTGCAGCTATCAGAGAAGTGTTTGTAGGGGTGAAAGATGGGAGGTGGACAAAGGGATGGTCCAGCCTGCTGCAGGCGGGCAGCACTGCTCATTTTAGTCTCCAACAGCTCTCCACTTCTTTTTTAAGGGAACCATGGCTACAGGCAAGAGTATGTGCTTTTATTTGTCTGAGGGAGAGGGAGATTTGTGTGCAGCTTTGTCCAGGATGCACATGGGATCATAGGGCCCTCCCACTGAGTAATAACTCTCATGCTCTAACTTAGAAGGGGAGGGGGGCAAAAAATAAATGAGGAGGAGTGCGTGCACAGACAAACAGGGAGAGTGGGTGCAGAGATGTGAGGATACTTTCTCTAGCTCCATGTCCTCAAGTCTCATCAGAATGTTACTTCTGCGTGACTGGTGCTTTGAAGAGAGAACTGATGTATACATGTCCTGCTGCAATATAGATGGACACGGGAGAGCTGGGGAAGGGGGAGTGCGTTTTTCTTAGCAAAACACAGAGGAGGGCACTGACATTGATTCTTGGTGACAAGTGAGCTGTAAAATCACCACAAATACACAGACACCAGAGGGATGCTGTTGCTTGTGTGCGCTGAAAGGGGGGAGTAAAGCATGCCAATGCAGATTACATAAGTGCTGCACTGGGAAGAGATGTTTGCTGTCTGGCAGCATCCACAGGAAATTGAAATGGGCCAAGCTGTAGTAGAAGGACTGCTCAAAGAGTCCACATAGAAGAAAAAACCTGAGAGGCAGAGATGGCGGCTGTGTCGCGCAAGGCATGAAATCTGTTTAATTCTTTTATCAATGTTATTGTCCAACTGCCATGTGATGTGCTGGTTAGGAATGACTTTGTGAACATGCAATAAACACCACAGACTCCGTGACAGGTGCTCTCAAATATAAAACACATCAGTGCCTCTTAAACAGGTCCGTCGATCTAATA